AAAAAAAAAAAAAAAAAAAAAGTAAAAATAATTTTTATTACTTTTTTGCTGAGCCATTCTGCCACCCGTTGGTAGCTCAGCGACAGCTCAGCTCGGGTGCAGCGTCATTGGCCCATGTGGGAATCAAACCGGTGGCCCTGCTGCTTAGAGCTCGCACTCCCAAGCCAACTCTTAACCAACTGAGCCACTGGGCCGGCCCACTTGTGTTATTTTTAGAAGTAGAATTATCTATCTACCCACCCACCCCCAGGTACTTTCTCAAAGCAGAGTATACCAATCTGAAATATAAGGATTAACTTCTATCTTCAATATCTAGAGAATAGAGGTAATGACTGCTTATTTATTTTCTCAAAGATACTTTTAACTAAGCCCTCATTAATCTCTTCAATGTTTCCTTCTCTTTGAAAAGCTGTCATCAAACACAAGTCTTTCCCATTAAACATTTTTAAAAAATTGAGATAAAGTTGACATTTAACATTGTATTAGGTTTAAGCATACAATATGATTTGATATGCATATATATTGCAAAATGATCACCACAATAAATTTAGTTAACACTCGCCATTACACATAGTTACAATTGTTTTTTCTTGTGAGAACTTAAAATCTACTCTCTAAGCAACTTTCAAATAAACAATAAAACCCTTCCCATTTATAAAATGCTTAGCTGGTTTTTGGAATACTTCTTTCATCAGCTGGAGCCAATCCTTTGGCAGTTCTGGAAGGTTTATCTATGCTTTAATTTTTATAAATTTTTTGCAGATAAGCTATCTTTAATATAATCACTGTAACTTTCCATCTTAACACAATCACTTGTAGCTGTAGCTTATTACCCACCCCTCCATTTTTTTTTTTTTTTTACCAGGAAATGAGGCTATATTCTGTTGGATCTCTACTGTGGCTCCATCAAATTTGCTGTCCTCAGGAAAATATAAGGAAGATGTGACAAGGAAGGATGAGAGGCTCAGAGAGACCGCATCCATTCACTGATTTCACTCATTCTTTCATATGTGTAATACGTAGTGTAAAAAGCAGTGTAATACTCTGCTTACATATCATTTGATTTAGCTGCTCCTCTACTGATGGTTATTTATTTCATTTCCAGTATTTTTGCAATTATAAACACTGCTGTGATGAACAAGGTACTTGCGCCAATGTAAATCCTAAGAAATGCCATTGCTGGGTCCAAGGTTATGCACATGTATGTTGTTAATACATACTCCCAGTTTACCCTACTAGTTACCATATCAATGTACACTCCCACAAAATCTGCTCAACATATCCTTATGATATAATTTTAGGGATGAGAAATATCTGTAGGCTTCTGAAAAAACCCCACATTCAACCCAAGTACTTACCCATCGGTTCCTTAATAACACCGTAATAGTCGGGTGCATCATTAGGATCCACTGGCTCAAGGAAAGGCCAGGCCATTTTATGGGCCTACCACGGGGTCGGGGGGGAATAAAAAGCATCATTATTGTCAGGTGAAAATACGAATTCCATTTATATTTCCCATTGGAGCTACTGCATCAATTAACCCTTAAACTCCAAAAGTCAGTTTTAAACTGGATAAAATCATTTATACCGAGGTGGTTTTTGCTCTAGTCATAAATTATCTCAGATGAGCATACTCTATAATAACAGTTCTCAAAGGGTTGTCTGAGGCCCGTGGCACTGGCGGTGGGAGGCTGCAGCACTAGCTTAGGAGCCAGTCAAGTTGTACTCTGGTCCCTACATGATGCCTGCCCACTAAGTGATGTTGGCACTGCAGGCACATCTGTAAAATTAGGGTTGGATGGGTTCTGAGTGTGGAATGGTTACCACTGCTGGCTAACAAGGTGGCGGAGATGTGATGTTAAAGAACATTCAACCTCCTATGGACACTATTGTTCTCCTTTCAGTTCTTTCAGTTCTTGTGATTATCATTACAACAGGAGAACCTGTCAATCAAGCACTCCTATATCTTGAATACATTTCTAACATTTGCTAATCTCATAAACCACCCCATCTTCTTTTAAGTTTTAATAAGGGAGGGAAGGCTTTGGTTTAAAACCTTTGATAAGCGTTTGTATCTCACTAGAACCTAATCAAATTGTTTTTCAATCTGTGGTGTTGAGATAAAGTTTTTTGTTTTTTTTAAAAATAAAACTTAGGTTAAGAAAAGTGAGTCATTTAAAGTACAAGTGTTAGGTAAACTACAGTGGAGGCTAGTGTGTGGATATGGTGAGCCTCATGACATTGGCATGTGAAGGACTGGTCTGTGGAGCACTTCGCTAGACAGGCTGGGGGTCAGTAAATAATCAGGTACTCCAAGGCTGGCAAGTTCAAACCCTACAAGTGTTTCCAAAGCCACGCTGCTTGATTTCCTCTTCAAACACTACACACAGAGCGGTTTCTCACCTGTAAAGAACGCAGCACCCTCTTCAAACCCTCATAATCTTTCTCTGTCAGTGGCGTGAGCACTGTCATGGCATCCTCTGTCGACTGGCACTGTGGACAGACATACTCGTCAATGAGCTCTGCCTCACTCTGCAAGATGCCCACGCAGCGCCCATGGTACCAATTCTGACACCGGTCACAGCCAATATAGAATCTGCAAGGTCCGAAATGGAAATGTGAGTTCAAAACAGATGGGATCACATTCCTTATAACTTACTTTAAAAGTGATAAAACATGCACCTGAAAATATTCTAACCCTGGGACATAAAACAGATTTAGTATTATAATTGATTTAATACTTTTGAAGATTGACGTTCCTATGTGTTAATTTAGTATTTCTGATGTTAAGAACAGGCATTAAAAGTTTATTAAGAACACTGTATAATATTAGAGAACCAATACAAAAAAAAAAGGAAAACATTTTAATTGACTTTAAAGCTCAAAACAAAATAAAGCCAAAAATCTTTCAACAAGTACCATATCAAATGGGAAGCTGATATTGACCACCCAACTGGGAGTTCAAAATCCTATAAGCCAATAACAGTCTCAGAGCTTGTATCCAAATTAGTGTTTTTCTAACCTACAAGAAAGCCATTTCGAACACTGATGAAGTCCAAACAAAGTCAGGCCATTTTAATCTCATTAATTTCTATGTTACATGTTGAAGAATCAAGTCTACCATTAAACCATATTTTTTCCAATGAATCTCAAATATTCACTATGAAGCAACATAAATTTTGAAGGGGAGGTAAAGAGGGAAAAAGAGAAAAAAAACTGGAAAGGGATTTGTAATGTAAGTGTATAATATACGCAGAAAAATATCTTGCTTTTCATTTTAAAATAAAGAACCAGTCAGAGCAATTTGGCTTCCTAAATTATTAAATATGATGCTCTTATCAGAACTCACTGTGACTCATCATAAGGTGTTCTGCAGATACAGTACAATTCCTCACTGCTGCCCTCTTGTGCCCGTTTACAATCATTACAGATGTACACATCCATTTTCTTAGCCTCCTTTTCTGTGATGCCAACACATTCTCCATGATACCAGTTAGTACAAAGATCACAGCCAATATAGAACCTAAAAGTATTCACAATGAAAATGACAATGTAATTGTCATTTTGAGCTGCATGGTACTTAAATCTGTCTTCCCTGCGCTGATTCACTTTCTTACAGGATAACTTTCTGCAATGAGTCTGCTAGACACCTTGAATCCAACCATCCTAACCCTGGCAAGCTACAGCATATGACACTGTATCAAGTATGGAAACATAAAGTCACTAACATCTATTTCAACAAATACACTGTTTAGTGAAATATGGGTCATTAAAAACATACTGGAATTTGAAAAAAATAAAGAACACACTGATGGTAATGTCTGCTTCTTAATGAATGTGTGTAAAAACTGTAACAGGCACAAAAACCAAAGCCAAAGAATCAAAGACTTACATCTGTCAAACCTATGCCACAGAAGCCATTTCAAATCAGGGCTATTTCTTTGATAGGTTTGAAAATGTATCGCACGATTTAAATTTGAAAACAAAGCAAAGCGCAAACACCAAGTAGAAGTTACACTACAGGGAACATGCAGGTCAGCCAGGTGGAGAAGAGAAATGGTCAAAATATGATATGAAGAAGAAAACTGAGAAAAGTACATGGAGTAATTCAATTTCTGCCACGTTTTCTAAATAAACCCTAGAATTTGATCTAACTGTAACAGATGATGACATGGGCCAATCAATACAATGCTAATATAATGTGTGTGATGCTGTGGAGAGCGAGCATGCTAATTGACTGGTAAGGAACTGTTTCAGTTCAAACCCAGGAACTCACAGTGTGGAGGGCAATGTAAGGGTCGTTATCCAGAACAGTATTGGCGGGGTGGGGCTGTGCGGGTGTGTGACTGGGGGTTAATCATATTCGGTTAACCCTCATGGCTTTTGTAATGTGAGATCCCCAATGACAAAATGAAGTGTCCCTATGACAAACACATAGTATATCTAAAAGTGTTGAATGGGTGCTGTGTAGGAATGCCATGTCAAAGTCACAGCAAGAATTAGGATGAATCACAGGGAACCAGACTGGCCTTGCTGATGCCACTGGTTCTAGCAAGGGATTTCTTGGTAGATTCACCTAGAGACACAGAAGTAGTTCTCAGGCTTCAAACTAAGCTGCTTTATGAATGTTAAGGAATACATGGTTGTGTGGTTTATCTAGTTACCACTAACTTTTCTCTTTTGAATATGACTCTCGCATGATTTTTCAATGCCACAGGTGGGGGCCTTCTAGGCGTTTTTGTATGTTGCCCTCACCAGATGGTGGACTGTATGTTCTGGAAGTAAGCTCAGGACCTGACTTTCACGTTTTAGTCACTCGCACTAGATTCCCAAACCAGCCAAGTTTGGTACAAGAGATTACAAAATACTCCTAAAAAGCCCCTAATTCAAATGAACCTGGTATACTGAAATGTTAATAATGACAAACTGAAAAATATGAAATATCCACAAGATAATGAGGCAATCTCAGTAGAATGAGCACATATACATGGGTGCCTCATTTTATGCAACTTATAATACAAATTTCTGTGATCCGGATATTTTCAATATGCCAAAGAAGACTGTTAAAGAAATTTCACAAGCAGATCTTTTGTAAACAAAGGAAATCATGTTCTGTTTTGTTCTATAAATTATTTAGTTTACTTTGCTTAAAGGGAGGCACACTTGTATTAGGCTAAGGGAAAAATCAGTTAATAGGGCTCCACTTTTTACATTATGTATAATTCCCAATTTATAATAAGACAATGAAAAGTGAAGATGCCTAAACTGATCTGTGTTTAATTCAACACACAGCTAAATCTACCAACAAAAAGTTTTGATCTAGCACTTGCAGATTATAATTTAAATAGCACCACCAAAGCAGCTTCAAGGTTGCAACTTAAACATCATTAAAGAGATTACAATTTTATTTTAGAAATTGATTAGGCATCCATTTAAGGTAGACATTAAGCATTCCTAATACTAAATGATCATATTTTATAGCACAATTAAATGAACTTTTCAGTACTGTAAAAATATCGTGGTTTACCTTGGCTTTAAAAAGCTGGCCTAACATTTAAAAACATTTAAATGTTTAAAATGAAAGCTAAATACTTAGTTGAATGACAAAAAAAAAAAATGAAACTACATTTATAAATCAGTATCTCTAAAATCTTTATATATCACTAAATACAAACCACAACTGTCAAAAACAGCTTCCAGCTGCCATGTTTATCAAATTTTTGAGTATCTTACTTGAGAAATGGGTGAAAGGAATACTTTTTGTATTTTTCTGACTTTTGTCCCCAACAAGAAAATGGGAACTTCGACAAAAATAACATTGTTCAAGTATTCCAATATAAAAAACACAGAATTAAAATTAAACAATAAAAAAAAACGAAGCCATGTAAACTTGAATCCTCTTGCCCCATTCATATTCAGATCGTCTCCAGAATTTGAAGTAATCATAGGGTTGCAAAGATTCCAGAAGGGATGCTCTCAACTCTAGGCAGCAATAATAATAAACCTCTCTCCAGAAAGCATTACTGATTGAGTTAATCCAGAGAGAAGAGGAGAAAGCAAAGGAGCAACAGAAAGCTTGTTTTTGACAGAAAAGAATATGATGAAGGACAAACATGAACCATGAACACGTGAGGTAACAAATTTTCACTTTCTGGTGTCAAGGTTAAGAATATCCTTGATGAAACACAACTACCCTTACTTTTAACTATTTTACTTTATGCTGCTATCAATATACTCATTTTCTTCAGAACTGGCGATTTAACTGCTAAACTTTAAGAAAATAAACTAGAGCTCAAAAGGATCTACTCACTTAGATTCATCGTAAGGCGTTTTACATATACAGTAAAGCTTTGTGTCCTTCTTAGTTTCCTTTGAGGTAGTAGAAATCATTTTCTTCTTCTTGGACTTGGAGCTTGAGTCTCTTTCCTCTTCCCGCTTCCTCTTCTGGGAAGCTGCAGGCAGTGTGGCCGTGGCCGTGGCCAGGGGACCCGAGTGCTGCGGGGGAGGCGGAGGTGGAGGCGAAGGCGGTGGGGCCGGAGGCGGGGAAGTGGCAGCTACTGCTGTGGCCTGCACCATTTCTTTTTCTTTCTTAATTTTCAGGTCTCTCTTGAGCTCTTCCTATTGTCAATTAAAGACAATACAAGACTATCATTTGACTTACGTAAATGCACACTCTGGCCAGGGGATGTTACGTTACCTCCCTCGTCGAAGCAGCTCCACAGTTCAGCCTAACGTGAGGGAGTTTTAGCAATTCCAAACAAGAGTGTTCCTACTATACCTTAAACCCAGTTAAAACAACTAGAAATAGAAAAATGAAGATTCATAACAAGTAGAAAGCTGCTAGTTATCCTCAAAACAGATCTGACAGAAAGATGCCCAAGTGTCTAAAAGAACATCCCTTCCTGGCATGCCCTTGTCATGTTCTGGTTATTTCAGTCGTGGCTCAGGATGTGATTTCAAGTGTCCTCACTCACTGGCTGCTTTCTTCTGGCCACTCCTGTGCCCTTCGAGTGCGACTGAACATGAACTAAACATGATACTCAGAATGTGGTCTGATCAGCCTAGAGCAGAATGAGAGAACTGCCATGTTTATTATGCTCCCATGTCTAGAATTGAAGGCTGCAGGGAGAGTATTTTCTTAATACAGATTTTGCCATAACTGAAAATCCTTACTTTTTTCCCATATGAAATACTTTTACAGACACACCTCTGCTACCCGGTGCTACAACTTATTCTTAGAGAAAACACTATGATTGGCATCCATGAACAAATTTGGTGTAAATTAACCATAGATATGACCAATCATATATACATCACAAAAATTCTAACAAATAAACCTGAATGGTCCTGGATTAACAAACATATTTTTTTCCATGTGTCTAGATAGTCTTGTGAGAAGATAAGCTCTGTGACTATTCAACAGCCTTTCTCTCTTTAAAAAGAAAGTTGGAACTTGTTCCTAGGGAAGAAAGTCAATTTTGAGTTTCTTTTTGTAATTAATATAGATTTATAATATAGTGAAATAGACTGTAGGAAAATCAATAGACTGTAGTGGGTAAACACTTTGATCTCTCCTCCAAGAACATACCGATGATAGTAAAATATAAGAAAGAGAAGACTGAAAAGACACAGCCATGCTTAATACAATATAAACGTCTGTATGGACCAGAAACACGAAACTGTGAACAGGGCTGAAGCTGCAGGCCTGCTGGGCTCCAGATCCAGAAGCAGGAAGTGGTAGCCCAACAACAGGAACAGCTTCTGCGGGAAGAAGGGGGACTCAGCACACTTCGTGTGAGGTGGGAAACAGGAGCAGGCTCCATGTTTGATGTTAGGGTTGGCTGGGCGACGCTGGGCTTCAAGAGAGGAAAGAAAACAAAACAAAACCCCTCCGCTTAAAATACCAAATGCAAACATGTAATGTGAAAAAAGACTATCAACAGAATCAATAATGAAATATGAATTCACGCCATATGAAATTAATTTTATAGAGCAATTTGACAAAAATTTTAGAATATGTATGTTTGAGATATTCAAAAAGCTAAATGAAGGTATAAGTTCCATTCAAAAACGAGTAAGCAATAATTTATCAAAAAGACAAGCAGAGGAGGAAAGAGGAGGGCTGAAAAGATGGAATACAGGACATTTTTAGGGCAGTGACACTTACTCTGGATGACACTGTCATGACATGATCCTGTATTCTCTATGTAACATGGATACATCATATGCATTAGTCAAAGGCATAAAACTACCACACACAGAGTGAAACGATGTGAACTAAGGACTTCAGTTAGTAACGATCAGTACTGGCTGTCCAATTGCAGTGCGCCACACTAACGCAAGACATTAATTAACAGGGGAAGCTGGGGGTGGAGGGTAGGCCATGAGAAGCCTCTACTTTCTGTGTAATTTTTCTGTAAATTTAAAACTGCCCTAAAAAAGAAAATCTATTTTAAAAAAGACAAGCAGAAATTATAAAGAACAGGTAGATATAAAAAACTGATCACATATTTTGAAAATAAAAAATAAAATCATTATAATTAAAATTTAAAAAATATGCTAGTACATATGCATTTGAATGTTGTCCTTCAAAGCAAATTATCTTAGCAATAAATTCTACTAGTTAAAATAATGTGGAATATATTCTTAAAGTATAATTTCTTCCTCATTAGATAAGTAATACATTGTCAAAAAGAACACCATAACTACAATAGAATAGAGTAGTAATAACCTTTTTAAAATGGCTGCACAGTGTATTGAATGCAGAAAAATGTTCAGTATATGTTATCTCCAGTGTTTTGAATAAAATCTGTTTATATGAATACACATATTAAAAATAATATATACAAGATATATTCTAAAATTATTTTAAAATGGCAATCTTTGGGCATATGGACTTACAGATTTTCTTTATTTGTTAGCTAAAAGTAATTGCTTTGAAAGGCATTTGAATGTACTCCTATGTGTCCAATTTATTTATATACAAAGGATATAGACTACAAATATTTTCCCACTTTGTGCAGAATATGGAGTGGGAACAGTATGTGAAACACCTTAAATGTTAAGTATTTGTTGAGTGACCTGAATGGATACCTCACATTATAAATACTATTCTGCAACCTGCACTTTTCATTCAAATATTTATCATGAGAATTTCCTCAACGAATTAAAAACAAAAAAAGCACCAATCCTACACTCACCATTTTGTTAAAATGGCGTCCATTGTGTGGACACTCCAAAATGTCTTTTATCCAGTGGTTCTCAACTGAGGGTGGTAATGGTTCCTCTAGAGAGTATTTGAGAATGTATGTGAAGGGGACAAGGTCATTCTTTTGGTTGTTACAATGAAGGGAATGCTACAATATTGAACTTGATAGTTTTGTGTAAAAACTATCCTGTCAAAAGGGCCCAGAGTGCGCCTGGTGAGAAACACCACTTACCAATCTCTTTTCTGTGGGCTTTGGACTGATTCCAGATTTTTGTTATTATTAACATTCATTCTTGCTCATGTATCTTAGATGATTCTAGAGGTGAAATTATGGATCAAAGCGTATCTACATTTTACAGTCTTTTCATACATATTGATAAACTGTTCTCTAGAAATACATGATGTTTTTCTAGAAAAAACCCAGTATTTTCATTTCTTTCATTAGTAGTTAGGTTGAATATCTTTTTATATGTTTATTAGTATTTGACATTTTTAGATTTGAAAACTTTGTTTTTATGTGTCTTATACAATCTTCTACTAGAGTTTTTTTAAATTTCAGTTTTGAGGCTGAAATATACCATGTACTTTTACAACCGACAAATAAAGTTGTAAGCTATTTAAAGTGTACATTATAGTGATTTGATATGTATAATGTGAAAGTATTCCCCTCACCTAGTTAATTAGTGTTATCTTTTTCTTATTTCTTAAAGAGCTCTTTAAATTTTTGGAATATTAATTCTGCCATTAATGTTCCAATTTTTTTCTTGTTATTTGTTTTTCAATGTTGTTTATGGTATATATTTTTTCCTATATAAACTTTTTTCTTCTTGTGTCATCAAATCTATCTTTTCCCATGTGGCATTTGGAATTTGTTATGCTTAGGAGTGATTTTTCCCACTCCAAAATTACAAAATGACAATCATGTTTTCTTCTGCTATTTTTGTGGTTTCCTTTTTTACACTAAAATTCTAATCTATAAAATGTATCTTAATTTAAGGTGGAAGGTAGTATATTGTATATTCTGTTGCTTCTGTGAATTGGCTCTTCTGTTTATTACACTTTGATAATGGTTATAGTCTCGATATTTATCTAGTGACTAAGTTACTGAATTCTCTCATAAGTTTTATTAATTTTTCTTTTGGAGTTTCGATGTAATAATCTTAACGTATACAATAACAATTTTATCTTTTTCTTTCTTTGCTTGGCTTAACACATCAGCTAGAATTTCCAGAGATGCTCAATAAAAATGTTGATCTGGGGCATTATCACCTGGTTTCTGACTTCTGTGAGAAGATCTCTAATGTCTTAGAGTTATATATAATGTTGATTTTTTTGGCTGATCAATCTTTTAATATTTCTCATCTCTTAAAATATACCATGTACTTTTATAGATGCTTTAGATAGCCCTTTTTTTTTTAAGCTATTGTATGAATAGGTATTTTCTTTCATTTTTCAATAACTTCCCCAAGTAAGCAGAGGATTGGCAATGCCTGACAGATCGGTTACAAATCAAGGAAGAAATCTGGTTTTATTTAATGAGCACACTTTATTTTTCATTCTTTCACCATTATTTCACAGTGTTTCTGTCTGCCTTTCTCATGAAACTTGGCTCCTAATAACTTTTGGCAAGACTGTGTCACAGAGACTAAAAGCTATTCCCAAAAGACTTCTCAAATGTTTAAGTCAATAGACTAAACTCTTTAAGTGTCCAGTTTAGAGATTACAATATACATTTAAATATAAAATTGCTACCTTGTTTCAAAAAACATGTGTCTCACAGCTTTTTACTACATGTACAGAACTGAAATTCTAGAAAACAAGCTGAAATTTTAAGCGCAACCAATATTTCATGGGAAAAAAGAATGAAATTAGTTGCTAAATATTGGACACACAAAGAAAGAAGACAACTTCTCACCTGCACTTCGATTTGTAGATCCTTGTCCAGGAGTGCTCTCTTTTTCAGGATTTCAGCTTTGAGCTGCTCTTTGTGTTTGAAGAGCAGTGCAGAGAGCTTGGTAGCATTCTGCTTGCTACGTTTCTGTTCCACACTCTCTTCGCGCTTCCGTTTTTTCGCTGCTTGTTTTTCTTCTTTATCTATCTTATCCAAAATATACTTCATCACCTGGTTACAGACAATCATTCTAGAGAGAAATACACAACCTATGTAATGCTGGGCATTTCATTCCAAAAGGCTTAAAGACATGATTTTTCGATGACTGGAAAGCTTCAAAGAGTGATTCCAACCAGCTATGAGAGCCTATTAGTACCAAGGGTTCTCATTTAATGAACTTCAGTTAAGATAAAAAATATAAACTCAGAACCCATGCCTGTGCATGCTAAAGAGAAGAGACCACCATACAGTGAGATCCTGTGTTACTGGGTATAAGCATTTCTCCCTACCTTTGATTCTCTTCTCTTTCAGCTGGAGTCATGGTCTTTTTCTGTTTTAAATGTTCTATTACAGCATTATGCTTCATCACCACCTTCAGGACAGAACAAAATCCAAAAGTGCATATTTTATAATGACCACAAGTTGGTACACAGATAACAGTAGAAATTGGAGCACAAGTATGTGTTTCCCAAAGAAACCAGAAATTTTCTATCATAACACAAATAAAAATGGAGCTACTACATGGTCTGGGCTTACCACGTACTGGTTACTGCGCTAAGGTAAGCACTTGGCATGACCTTGTTTATTTCTCACAACAACACTGAAAGGTAGGAATAATTTTGTACATAAGACACTGAGACACAGTATGTAATATGGCTGCAATTACAGCCTAGCTATAATTCTCCAAAGGCCATGTTATTCACATTATGCTCTCTTCCCAGGCATTAATTTGGGGTTTCCCCCACTCCCATTTCACAGATGGGGTGAAGAGATTAGGGTAAAGACAGCTTTTGTAATACGTAATTCTTAATTTACAGACTATACAGTACTCCAAGCTGGGTCACAATGCATTTGAACATATTATACACGATGTCAACCTTATGAGAATATTACCATAGATCTTTAAAATCCTTTTGTTGTTCAAACAGTGCTTCTAGGGTTGGCCGAGTGGCTCAGTTGGTTAAGAATTAGCTTAAGAGCGCAAGCTCTGAGCAATATGGCCCCCAGTTCGATTCCCACATGGGCCAGTGATGCTGCGCCTGAGCTGAGCTGCCAACAGGTGGCAGGATGGGTCAGCTGGTGAGAACACGTGCTCCTAACAACAAGACTGCCTGTTCACTGGTGGGCTACGCCCACCCGCAACTAAGAATGAACTCGGCACCTTGAGCTGAGCTGCCGCCAGGATGGCTCAGTGGATAGAGCGTGTGCTCTTAACAACAATGCTGCTGGGTTTGACTTCCGCATGGGATGGTGGCTATGCCATTGTAGCAACTAAGATTGTAACATAGCACCTTGACCTTAGAGGCCATGAGCTGCCAATGGGCAGCCAGATGGAGACAGTGCCCTATACAACTTAGACTGAAGAATAACTACTTGGCTGGTCCCCCTCCCCAATTCCCCAACACTGTTCCCCTTCCCCAATTAAAAAAAAAGTGCTTCTAACAACAATATTGTATTATAATCATCAACCCTGCTGAGACTAGATATTATTGCAACCACTAAAAAGAAATTACAATTATGTTACGCGATAGAGGTGCTAGTTATCGCTACAACGGCTATCATATTGTGCTATACAAATGTATCAAATCAACACGCTGTACACCTTAAATTTACACAATGTTATATGTCAAACATAAAGTGCTTCTACATACATGACTTCATTTAATCATTACAATAATCCTGGGTAGCTAGAAAGAGAGGAAGTTTTAGTGAGTATATTGCTCACAGGAAGTAAGTTTCATGGGCTGTGAATGGGAGACCCAGGTGATAAATGCTGGTCTCATGACATGGGAATACTTGAAATCCACACTCAAACCCCTAACTAGTGCCAAGCAGTACATGCTATAGATGCAAAATATTTTTCTCCAGTAATGCTGCAGGATGTCATACATATGATTTCATTTTAAGTAGAATAATGCTTATTCATCTAAATTGCCTTACTTCACTAAGGTGCTACTGCATGATGCCACTTTTTACTTCAGCCTATGGAATAATGGTATTTAAAAGTTGTTTATAAAGGTGTAGCTAGAAATGCAAATCAGTTTAATCTGTCTATGATTTGCTTAGTCTACATGCAAACTAAGGGATGACAACTGTAAATAACTTCAAATTGCCATGATGCCCAAAGTGGCTTTAGAACTTTGTGAAATCTCGTTTTGGATTCATGATACTTAAACTCCTAACTCCATGCTTCCCGTCTTCATTCTCCCACGATACAAGTAGTTTTCTCTAATAAGCACTGACTGTTTATAGCCAACAGAGTTCCAAACCACTGCAGTCATTCAGTATTTTTTGGTCAATCCAGTGCTACTTCTAAATCGAAACATCAATGACTTTTGTCTCATTTAGGAAACCTAACACAACCAAACACTAAGTCTAATGCACAGCACAATAATTCAAGCTACTGAACATGCTGCTTTTACTTAATAACTTTACCTGTTTCTGAATGATTTCACTTTGATTAGAAGCTTGGAGGGTGTGTTCCCGCTTAATTTCTATCTGTTGCTGCTTCTTCTTTTGCTGCTGATCCCTGAGTTGCTGAACCCTCTGCAACTGCTCTTGCACACTGGCTGCCTGCACTGTGACCACATTCTGAATCTGGTGAGTCTGCACAGGGCTGCTTTGCTGAATTTGAATAGGTAACTGCAGTTTGATTTGCTGGGGCACACCACCTTGCTGAGCCTGTATCTGAGCCACAACCTGCGACTGGATCTGAGAGAGAACCTGGACTTGTTGTTGCAGCTGAGGCACAGCAATGACTTGGGGCTGTGGCTGCTGTATTTGTAGCTGAGGACGGGATGGGGATGGAACAGTAACTTGACTTAACGTTTGTCCTGATGAAAGAGTTTGAGGTGAAGACTGTACCTGGGGTTGTGATTGTGGCTGGCCCTGGGAAGGTATCTGAAGAGATGTATGTGGCTGAATTGGAATCGGTTGGGAGGTTGTAGTCTGAACCTGGGCTTGCTGTCCAGGAGACACCTGGGATGGAGTTGATGGACGTATTCGAGTCTGTGGCGGACTCTGGACGCGAGCAGGAGACTGTCCTTGGACATGACTTTGAGGCTGACACTGTGCTGCAACTTGGGGCTTGGATGACTGTGCTTGGGTGGGTTGTGCTTCAGAAGGGACATAGGATGCAACAGTTGTTTGGGGTTGAACTTCAGGCTGAGTCTGAGCTTCAGGCTGAGCTGGGGACTGGGGCTGGGTTTGGGGCTGGGGCTGAGCTGAAGGCTGAGCAGTCTGTGGCTGGGCTTCTGAAGGACTCACACTTGATGACTGAGCTGGTGGCAGGGTTTTGGCTTGTTGCACCTGTGTCGGGGGTGATAATTTACTCTGTCTTTGTTCACTTGTACCTGTGAAAAGGGAAGACCAAATAATCTATTACTCTACAACATAAGACTGAGGTTAAAGAAGAACTTGAAGGGGGTTTCCTAAAGGTGAGGATTCTGTATTTCTGTACAGAAGACTGATGCCTTAGAAATGCTCCATTTCTAAGGAACAATTCTAACCCCCACACATGGGTCAGGACTCTCTTAAATTGGGGGGCATAAGCTGTTTCAGGGCCACCCTCTGCACACACTGCTGACTCTCCAGAAAGCCTGCTTCCAAAGCAAGGCGCAGTCCGGAAATCAGCCTCGTCTTCTGGTCCAGGCTAAGTGACCCTCATTTTTCTCCTGTGGTATGGTGGCAGTTAGTGACAGCAGCTTACAGTAGAAGGCTAACAAAATGGTTCTGGACTTGCAGCTCTCACCTGTAGGTTAGGAGCTGGGTATGTCCACCTGCCCTGAAATTAACTCCATGAGTCAGTCAGTGCCTATAAGGTTTGGCAAGGAGCAAGTGTTGGCACAGTTACCATAACACCCACTATTTCTTGCTCCCCCCGCTCCCTTTCTATATTTTTTTATGGGTGGATGGAGGTGACAGGGAGTCCGCAAGAATAAGATATCTTGTTGAGATCTTGTGAAGCTGCTAGGCTTATTGGCTTGAGGTGTATCCTCTCAAAGAGAAGCACTGGTCCTCTCGTCCCCTTTGTTAGCCCAACAGCTGTGGTAATAGTGTGCGGTGTTTCTGATAAAGCCCAAAGTCTACCTGCTGCTGTAGTGGAAATGGTGGTGGTGGTGGTGGTGCTGGCCGCGGTGGCTGTTGTTGCCAGTGGGGTAAACAGGAAGCGCTGAACAGTACCATTTGGCATTGCTGCTTGCATCAGCTGCTGTCCTGGACCTGGAAGTATAGTCACTCCTTGAGGTATCAACTGCAACTGTCCTGTAGTTTGACCTTGTCCTTGAATTACTACCGTCAAACCTTGATTGCCACCCTATGGAAAAAAGACACAACATGTAAACAGTGTTCAAAGTATCAAGCTGTGAGTATACCATTTTTATGTTGACAAGATCCTACAATATAATGAAAATATATATTTGAATATCTATGGAATGGCAGCAAAAAGAATTCAGATAAGAACCTTTCTTTAAAAAGACCGAAGCTGTTTAGTGGAAAAACCATGAACTAACACCCCAGTGTTCCAGTCCAAGATCTCCAACTGGACAGCCAGGTATCGGTCTATCAGTAACATCACTCCTCCAGAGTTAAATTCCCCAAATTATAAAATACAGTAGTCCCTCCCCTCTTATCCATGGTTTTGCTTTCCTCAGTTTTAGTTACCCAAGGCCAACTATATTATGGAAATATTAAATGGAAAATTCCAGAAATACACGATTCATAATTTTTAAATTGTGTGCTGTTCTGAGTAGTATGATGAAATCTCACACCTCCTGCTTTGAGCCACCCAGGACGTGAATATGTCCAGCGTCTCCACATTATACACTGTCGCCTGTCAGTCCCTTAGTAACCCTCTCAATTATCAGATCGACTGTCATGTTTTGGCAGTGCTTGTTGTGTTCAAGTGACCCTTATTTTAGTTAATAATGGCCCCAAAGCACAAGACTAGTGATGCTAGCAACTCGGATATGCCAGAGAAGCCATAAAGTGCTTCCTTTAAGTGAAAAGGTATGTATGTATGTATAGGAATAAACATAGTATATATCTAGGGTTTGATACTAAATGTGGTTTCAGGCATCCACTGGGGGTCTTGGGATGTATTCTCCACAGATAAGGGGCAACTACTGTAAGGGCACTAAAGGGAACGACTAACGTCAACACAACATTCTGATTTTAAATCATGACGTTCCTATTGTTTTATAATTTTCAAAGCATCTTGACTGCCTCTTTTGGTTTTCTCACAATGGACTTTTGACTTTGTGGAGTAGGGAGAGAAAATAGTACTATAATCTTATTACTAACTAAGAAACTCAAGTTAGAAAATTTAGTCCCTTTCCCGAAGTTAGAGACCAAGTTAAAGGTGAGATAAAATGAGGAACCCAGGTCTCTTAGTTTCAGGTTTTCAGAATGTACCAAATTCTGGTGAGTGTTAGTGTGTGCCAAAGTAAAAAGGCTTAGGCTTTAGCCAAAGAATATAAATACCAAGTCAGGAGGGTCACTAATGTCCAAGAAACGATCAAAATCGGGACCAGGAACTAAAAGCTCTGTGTGTACTCTCTTCTGTCCAGGACTTATTGAATCCAGTGAACTCAACTACCAGGAACATGGCGGAGAATTAGAAAAGTTTTATTTTTCCCATGGAAATTAGCCAACCCATAAATTTTGGTGGTTAAAGGGTTACCCATCTCGCTGTTATAGCATGGTCTAAGGACTCCAGATATTTGAGGTTTATTATATCCTGCCTTTAAGAAGTGTTTTTGTCTAACCCTAGAAAGCCACCATTTCTTAAAATAAGTACATTTTTTAATATCTGAAAATAAGTACATGCTTTTAAACTTACAGCAAGAATAAATGAGATCACCTCTAACGTTAAAATGAAGTCACGCTACTTACGTGGCCCTGTGTTAACTGGGTGAGTTGCGCCATGGTCAGCTTCACCTGTCCTTGCTGGGGACGAGGGGGTTGTGAGGTTGAAGACTGCAGGTTTGCAGCGGATGGTCCGGAAGGTAAGCCTTTCTGCCCAGGGCTTGAGGAAACTGCATTAGGGGCAGAGATTGCAGTGGAAACAGGCTGCCCTCTGATGATCTGAGTCACCACTTGTTGAGGAGTACCTAATGCAGAAGGCAAAACATTACAAATACTTACATGCCCTCGGCAGTATTCTGAGATGAAATATTCATCAATACTTCAGATGAATGTATTCTTTTCTATTTTCAGAGAAGACTGATGGGATGCCAACAGCCCAAGGATGCATGCAGACATATACCCACACCCAAAGGACCCACCTGACTGTCAGTGAGCCTGTTTTCAACCAGCTCACTGACACCCTCTCCAGTTCCCGCTACCTGTAGTAGAGTGAAAAAAATAAAACTCTTCCTGTATGTTGAAAGCAAAATGGATAAGAGGGAAGACAGAAAAGAAAGGGTAAAATGTGCCACTTATAAGGCTGCCTTTCTTTAGGAATACACTATTTTTAAAATTATAATATATATTTAATTCATGAATTTTAAACAAAACATGCTGAAACATATTCTGGGCTAGTACATTTATAAATAAGCTTTTCTTACCGCTATGTGCCAGACAGTTTGGGAGAACCATGAGGGAAAGGATCATTATATGCTCCGTTAAGGCACACCTTGGCTTATTGAGCGTCACAGGTGTTACATTTTTTTTCAAATTGAAGGCAAGGCCCTCCACCAGCAAAAAAATTCTCACTTGCTTTATTGTGATACTGGATTTAATGCAGTTGTCTGGAACCTACCCAGCAATATCTCTGAAGTATGCCTGGACTGGGGCAAAATGCTAAAAGAATGCTTCCATAGTTATTGTTCAATAAAGATCTAATGAATGAAGTCAATTGGAATGGCTCCACAGTCTTCTAAAAACTTCAGTTTTTCATTTAACTTGCTGAAACTGGAAGAAAACAAGGTGGGATTTTTTTCCCCGGTGGGACAGTCTCTAAGAGTAATTATTTGGTAGCTAATTTTGCATTTACAAAGTCCTAATTCATTATTAATTAGTGAATAACATCACATTTTCTAAGTTTTATATTCACTTCGCCTTTTTTTCTTCTGTGAATACACATATTTCTGTGTATATTTCTTTTAATGATTGATGTAAATATTACTGCATATGTATAAAATTGAACCTATTTTAACATTTACAATAGAATACTTTCTTTTTCTTTGTTTGAAATAACTCCATAAACTCATAGACACAGACAATAGTTTAGTGGTTACCAGAGGGTAAGGGGGGAGGAGGGTGGTAGATGAGGGTAAAGGATATCAAATATATGGTGATGGAAGGAGAACTGACTCTGGGTGGTGAACACACGTGATATATAGATGATGTGTTACAGAACTGTACACCTGAAACCTATGTAACTTTACTAACCATTGTCACCCCAGTAAACTTAAAAAAACAAAACTCCATGGTGAAATCCTTATTTATAAATTCTTATGTGCTTCTAATTATTTCCTTAGAATAAACTCACCCCCAAATTACTGGGTTCACAGTAGGAACACAGTACTAAACTGAATTTTAGAAAGGTTATACCAATTCATTCTCCCACCACCACGGAATGCCCATTTCACTGAACAATGAAACCCTAGGTATTATCACTAAAGTAAAATATTCCAGCAATCAGAAAGAAAGATTATGATCACAGTGCCTGAATTTCTTCAATTTTACAGCGTTTACATTTGTCGTTATACTTCATTTGTGAACTCTCTCATATAGTTGCTTCATACAGATCAAAGATATAAATGATGAAAACGGATTTTCCCTACTTTGTTGTCTGCTTTTTAATTTCATTTATTTGTAAACCTATTACAATTTTTTTATGTGTGTGGGGGGTTTTTGTTTGTTTGTTTATTTTTTGCTTTAATTATTGTTTTTAAAGTTTTCTTGCATTATCTAGTCAGATAGTACTTTCCAAGTATGTTCTCAGTCATGGTCTATGTTAGCAAGTCTATTTCCGCCCCTCCACCCCCACTAGAAAATGATTATTCCAGTATCATTTACTGATAAATCTAGACCTTTCTTTCTGATTCAAAATGATGCCTTTGTCATAGAGCAAATTCTCACATATAATGAATGCCTCATTAATGGTTTCTATTGGTCTACTTTCCTTTGGTGCCATACTCCTAACTCTGGAGGCTTAAAATACACTTTCAAAACCGGCAGTGCAAATTTTCTGTCACTACTCTTTCTTCTAAACTTTCCTTGGTTATTCTCACCCATTCATTCTTCAAGATGAATGAAAAACACGGTACAGCATGTGTAGTCAAGTGCTTGGATTTGAGAACTTCAGAACCTTAACAGTATGTCCTCGTATTGCAGTTTGAGGAACAATGCATGAAAAGTTATTTTAGTTGATCACCTGGTGCTGATACAGTGTCATCATAGACACAGATGGATAAAGGGCTATTATCAATTGATTATATGATGGTCATTCAGATGATCCCAATACATACATGTTATTTTCAAATTATCATCAAAATGCCAATTCAAAAATTAAAAAGTTTTTTATATTGCGTGAGTCTATGGATTCCATTTTGGAAAGGCTAATGTAGTGGTAGAAATAGGGTCAGTTGCTCTGTGCACCGTCAGACACACTGCATACATCTACCATCTGTCTGACCACAACTGCTGTAACTCTTCTCATCTTCACTGGCCCCACGAACCCCACTGGCCACCCTGCTTTTCCTTCCATACACCAGACACACTTATTTGTGAAGCTACAGATTTCACATATGCAGGTCCAACACATAATTGCAGCTATATAAGGCATTAGGGATCAAAAGCTCTATACATCTTGCAATTAACAAATTTTTCAATTTTCTAAGTACATTACATTTTATCATCTATAAATGTTTTTTTCTCCTTTACATTATTTTACTTTTCCTTTTAGTTACCTACCTGACATCTATTTTTAAACAGGAATAGATATTGAATTTTAACAAATGTCCCTGTAGCATTAACTGAAATAATAAATCATACTTTCGGGGGCAGGCCGAGTGGCTCAGTTGGTTGAGTTAGCTTAAGAGCGTGAGCTCTGAGCAACAAGGCCCCCGGTTCGATTCCCACGTGGGCCAGTGATGCTGTACCCGAGCTGAGCTGCCAACAGGTGGCAGGACTGCTCAGCTGGTGAGAACACATGCTCCTAATAACAAGACTGCCTGTTTGATGTTGGGCTACGCCTGCTCACAACTAAGACTGAACTAGGCACCTTGAGCTGAACTGCCGCCCAGATGGCTCAATGGATACAGCATGAGCTCTTAACAACAAGGCTGCTGGTTCAAATACCGCATGGTATGGTGGTTACGCCCACCCACAACTAAGATTGAACACAGCATCTTGAGCATAGAGGCCATGAACTGCCGACAGGCAGCCAGAGATGGCGACTAGGGCCCTCCACAACTAAGACTGAAGAACAACAACTTGGCTGGTCCCCTTCCCCAATTCCCAAATTAAAAAAAAACAAACCATACTTTCTTTTCTGGGATAAATCCTATTTAGGCATCGGAAGACTGCCTTTAAAAAAAAAGAAGCTATATTTCTTCTTAGAATTGTGCTAAATTTGTAAAATGAACAGGAAAGATTTAATCTTTTCTTACTCTGAAACTTTTTTTATAAGAAATTGTTTCCTAACCATTTTGAAGAATTTTACTCATAAAACCATGAGGGCGGTGGGAAATTATTTTTTGTAGGTAACAGTATAGCAACTTTCTAAATTTCTTTCCTTGACATGAGTCACTGAGATTTGAAATTTATAAGCATATTATATAATTATGCCTCTTTATTCAAATAGATTTAGTTCCTGAGTATGAATAGTTAGACTTCTTGAAGTCTTAACTCAAGGATACCTGTACACAGTTCTCTTTTGGTTTAAAAAAGTTCATTCTATAGCACTTTCTCATTCCAAATTTTCTAAACTAACGTTTTGTTCTCTTTTCTCAAGATTAGACTTGCAAAAAAATGGTTTATTTTAATATTTGCCTTTTCTGTATTTTAATTATTACTTGTACTTTCATTTTACTTCCTCTCTCCTGTTTTAAGATTTGTTTTATATATTTCTCTAACTTCTGATTAAGATATAAGAATATGGGGTTATTTTGTCTGTTTTGTTCACCAATGTACTTCGACTGCCTAAAATAGGTACTCAAACATTTGTTAAGTGAATGAATTTGCCTCTGAGTTCATCTTTGGCAGCAAAGCTCAGTTGATATTTGATAATCTGTAATTTACACATTTGATGTTTCTCTAATCTAAAAATTACTTATGAGAACATACATTTTAAAATTTCCAAGCAAGTAAAGGTTATTACTATAATACTTTAATATTAATTTCTAGGTTTACTACATATAATGTGGCCTATACACATTCTACTTTTTGGAATTCATCAAGGTTTTACCTGTGATGCATTATATGACCATTTTTGTACAAATTGTCCATAAATATTTAAAACCAATGTATATTCCTGAAGGTACAAAAGCTGATACACAGTCTGTTTCTGGTCTACCAAAGACTTCTGTTAATCCCTTCTTGATTTCAAATAGTTTCTGCTTTCTATACTTTAATGGTATTTAATTCATAAAAATCCAAGATTGGATCTTCACTGCAGCCTTTATGTTTAAGCCAATATAAAATGACTCTCTTTGTCACATTTAATGTATTTTTTTTAAACACTGACTTCTACCCTGTACAAAATTAGTAGGATTATCTTTGTCCTCCCCACTGCCCCCTTCTTTCTTTTTTTTTTGGTCTTTATTTCATGTATCCTTACCCATCTTTTTATTTTTTTTACCTTTGGTGGTAATTTGATTTTAGGTATGTTACTCAAAAATGTATAGTTGGATTTTTTTCCCACTCAATCTTTATGGTCTTCAACTTTTAATATGGGAGCTTTAACCTATTCACATTAATGAAGGGTTGGCATTGTCCTTGTAATTTTTTTTGTCCATTTAAATACTTCTTAGCAGTTTCCTTTGTTTATCTCTGTCTTTTGAAACAAAGACTATTTTCTGTGTTCATTCTTTTTATTTCTATGATTTGAATGTATATATTCCATTTATCAGAAGTTTAAAAAACATTTTATTTATTTATTTATTTATTTTAGCTGAGCCATCCTGCTACCTATTGGCAGCTTAGCAGCAGCTCAGCTCGGGCTGGGCATCGAACCGCTGTTGCTCAGAGCTCAAACTCTTGAGCGAGCTCTTAACCAACTGAACCACTCGGCCGGCCCTTAAAAAACATTTTAAATAAGCATACTTGGATCTATCGGGTTGCTGGAGAAGTCATGACGTATTTCTATGTTTTTTGTTGCAAAAATGCATCATGACTTTTCCGACTACCCAATATTTTACAATGCCAGATATGAAAAAATATCTATGGATGTATCCCATGATGGATTAGAAATTTAGTATGCTTTGAAGTCTTAATTCAAATTGGTATTTTCTAGTATGTAGAATGCCAAATACAGAGTGTTACAGATTTCCTGGACTGGTTGTTTAGATGTAAAATGATAATACTGGCTGGATGAATACCTGGCTGTACCATCACAGGTGTTCGAATAATTGCCTTTCCTAGTGTTGACTGTTGGAGTGGTGTTCTAATCACCGTCATACCAGGGCGGATCTGAGGCCCTGTGATCACCTATAAATGACACAAAAGACAATGAATTAAAATGTTTTTAAACAACTACAGTATGATGGACACAGATCTTCAAACATTCTATATTAATAAACACGTCTTCAGAAATGACAAAGGCTCTTGGAAATTACATCTTAAATTATGTTAAGCATCAGGATACAGATGGATTTTTGAGAGAAGAAAATTTAATTCAAATGAGATCATATGAAATTCCTTGTCATTGATACCAAGAACAGCCTACAGACTAGAAGGAAGGAACAAGACCCAGTGAAGCTCTAATCTATAACCACCACAGTTGCTCACAGGAAAACACTGAGTTCTATTTTCCCTGAGCTCCAATCCATATCTGTAACCTAGGGAATGGAAGACTAAGATCAGAAACCAAATGTCCTTTCATAGTTTTAAAGGAGAGACTACAAAGCATGTTATTTTCAGTTTTACAGTTAGGTTCAGAACATCTTCAAGTCTGTAAAACTGTAAACTTTTTCCATAATACTAGGGGTCAAAGAAATGATGTCTCTAACGTGTGCATATCACCTGATTACAAATTACTGTGCTGTAGATTATATTTTTTGTTCTATTTCTTAGCTGCATAGCAAGTTTCCTTGGGTGGTCCAGTGCTGTCCGTTATTTTATATAAAGGAATTTCCTTTACATAAAAAACTAGACAGCAACTCTTATGATTCATAAACTATACTAACGTGCTATTAACTACATTTTCATGTATCATTTTTTACTTAGAAATATAATAATACAGTGTTTAAAAAAATCAGTACTTTGTCACAGATTAAGGAAAAGGCAAAGGAAAATCAGAAGCTGGATTAATCCTGGAAGAGGCCATTCTAAAAGCCTGACGTGGTTAACACTTGAAAACCAAACAAGCCTGTAAAGAATTCTTACTTGTGAAGTGCTTGTGGTTCCTCCAGAGCCTGAGGTATTGGGCCTAATTGTGACTGTTGCTGTCCTGGGCTGGAATGAAGTAAAGGTTTGCTGACTTGTACCTGTACTCGATGGAATGATACCCAGGACTTTCTGCTGTACTTGAACAACGCCTTAAAAAAAAAAGGTAAAGAAGTAATTAACAGCTGCCCCTTTAATAAAAAGCATCAGGTGTTGTTTGCATTGTGAGGAGATACTACGTGTGGCAGGGTTTTATAGTGGACTACATAGAATGTGAGGTCCGAGGACTGAAATCAGTGAAAAGGAAATGAAAAATAATGGCAACAGTATGATCTGGCAAATGTGAATTAAAACTCTTCACATTTCCCTTACCTCCTTGTGTTGCTGGCACATTTACAGCGACAATCTTGCTGTTTGCAGGAAGTGGCAGTTTGGTAATTACTTTTCCTGCCATAGTGACTGGATTGCCTGTAATTTGGAACGTCTGACCTGTGCTGGCAATGGTTGTAGCAGATGTGGCAGCTGTGCTGGTGGCTAATGGGGTATAAGACATTCAATAAGCTTTAGATTTAAAATAACCAGCAACGTAGTGATTTCTAGGAAGGGCACCAATGCATGAAATGTGGTTCATTTTGTATTAAAAAAACAAAAAACAAAAAACATTCCTCTCCACTCAAAATAAGTGAACTATGTAAATGTTGAAAGTGAAATAATGTAAAAGAGGAGATTTGCTAATGTAATATTATGAATATTATCTGTAACAAACCAACAGTTACGGCTTGTTTGCTCAATCAGCTGCAGAAGAAAAACAATTTTTTAAGGAAATGTTTTATTTCAGCAGGTAATCGACTGAAATTCTTTTTCTTAAACGAAAGCAATCTTTTGTTTAATCACAGTTGTGTACCTGAATTTGACTGGCCTTGCTTAACCCAGGTAGCAAAGGTCTGATGGAAGCTCTTGTTCTGCTGGAATGTTACTGTGGCTGGAGATCCAACTTTAGTAGTTAGTACCATTTTAGCGCCAGTTGTAACAGGGCCGCTCAGTGGGGCCACCATAACTTTCTGTGCTGGAGAGATGGTACTAGTCGTACTGTTGGTTGGGGAAGTAGTGGACGCTGAAATTACTGTAGGCTTCTGCTGTTCCAATCGTTTCTAGAGTAGTGAGGGAGAGAAAACATAAACCAAAATAGCTCTAAATAAAAATAATACCAAGAAATTGCACCAAATTTCAAAAAAATATTTTACTTCTGAAAATATGCCCATGTAAATTTGCCTTGAATTTAATTTCTTATTGAAAATATTTTATGACTCTAAGTCACATATTGTTTATTAAAAGTAGTCTTTCATAATAAAAAGTTAAAAATAATCAAGTTTTTCCAGCCCTTAGAAATATCCAAGCTTCAGACTGAAAGTAAAAGAGACGTGGGTAATCTTACTGGAGAAAGGAAGAACTTGCTGCTCAGTGGTGGGATTTAGAGCAGATAACAAATGATAAGAACTGTAAAAGGTTTTCGGTTTACCTTAAGGCTAATTTGTCCAATCATAAAGAACATGTCAATATTTAAATATCACTATTCAAGATGGCGAATCTGTAATCAAGCAAGCTGAAAATTATAAAACAATTTTTCTAGAATTCTTATATTTTTCAGTTCAGACATATTTTACAGAAAAATACTTTAGACTGTTTTATACAGAGTGGTATAATCTCATCTTTCAGACTACCATATTAAAGAAAATTTGTGTATCTTTTATCATGGATTGCTAACATTTCCCAACAGCTTACAGACATGACAGTGTACGCTTACACATGTAAAAACAGGTGGCATGGATTGCAAAGCTGGTGGCAGATGCTTTACCTTCGTTATCTTATTTAATGCTTACACTAACTCAATAAAGTTGCTGGCATTGTCATTTAAAGATGAGGAAACCGAGACTCAGAGAGGTTGTGTAACTGGCCCAAGGCCACAGAGCTTGCTAGTGGTGGAGCTGAGATACGTACTAAGGCCAAATTCCAGTGCTGAACTGGAATTGTCCTGCAATTGGAAGCTACTCAGCAATGACATCACACCCAGTCTTCTTGGGATTACTGCTGTACATGGCCTCTATGCCTAAATATAATGTGAGGTATTTTATGTAATTTCTCATCCTCAGAAAAAAGGGAGTTTAGTTTTGGATACTTAGATAAGCCATCTGACTGAATCAGTAAAAAAAGGATGCAAGGGCCGGCCAAGTGGCTCAGTTGGTTAAGAGCTCACTCAAGAGTGTGAGCTCTGAGCAACAGGGTTGCCGGTTCAATTCCCAGCCCAAGCTGAGTTGCCAACAGGTGGCAGGATGGCTCAGCTAAAAAAAAAAAAAAGGATGCAAAAAAACCAAACATGTATTTATTAATAGAAGTTATTTCTTGGGGGTATGCCTTCAAAATTAGACATGTTGACTATCTTTGTAAATAAGCATGTTAAAGGCATTTTTAAAAGTAAAACATTAGGTTACACTGCAGAGATGACTGGAGACCTGCATAAAATGAATACTGAACAACTAGACAGTTTTTCTATGAATGAACAGATACAATCCAAAAGTGCTGTCATCTCATACTTGGGTACTTTGATATAAGTGAAGATAATGAACTGCAGTAAGCCGATATAAAATAATTTAATAAAATGTGAAAGGAAAAAAGTAGTTTGAATGAATAGTTGGTTTACATAATATGCAATTTTTAAAGTTATGTGTAACTTAAGTTACTGATTTAAAATATACCTATATCTATTTCGTCTACATCTTGAACATTTATATATTCAAGCTGGCTAAAAACTTTTACAGTATCTTAACAGAAAAAAGGTGTAATCATCTTTTATGTGGGTCCCTAATATTCAGGCACATATAGTACATTATTTATAGCTGTATGATTATCAATTACAACAAACTCAGTTTATAGAATTTTAGTACATTTGCTTTTTCATAGATTTTATGGATTGGAATTTTACAGGAAACAATTATCTGTAGAAACTAGCCTCTAAATTATAAACATAAAAAGTAAGAAAAGTCTTATTTCACAGGTTATTCCCCAGATATGTACACTTTATGCAAAAGAACAGCTTGGTGTATCCACCAAGCTACTTTCAAGTAATGAAATTAAGATATATGTGAGATACACTTAAAAATAAAACCACATGAATATATAATTACTGTGCTTTTAGTGTGCATGAAATTGGCTAAAAATGTCAATTTGTTGCCAGGTGGGACTGATACCATCTCCCCCATTTGGGCCTTGAAGTCCTCTGCCTTCTTCTGTTCACTAACCTTAGCCTGTTGCTCAACTGCTTGTGCCTTTTCTTTCTCCACTCTGCAGGAAAACAAAGGAGGAACTTATCAGAAACATGCCAACTAGGCATCTGGCATCTAATATTAAGTGAAATCTGGTTGACTTTCACATCATACAGAAGTGTGAAATTATTTCGATTTAAAAAGAAAACATTTAAATTAAGATACTAAGAAATTGACAAATGGATAAAATTAGAAACAGGACTTTAATAAGTGATATACTGCTAGTACTTGAAATCAAATGTAGAGAACAATTAGGACACATTGAATCAACTATTAAAGGGGTAATTCTTTAATTATGAAGTGATAAAACCTTCAAATATCTGGTAACATGTTAACCATTTCCTTACCTCTCAGCAAACGCCCTGATCTCCCATAATTCCAACTCTTCTTCTGCTACCCAGGTTTCGATAATAACAGGGCCAGTTTGCTTGGGCGTTTCTGGTCTCTTTGGCCGCAATGCGCTTGATCGAAGGCCTTTCCTCTGAGGTGTAGGTGTTTCTATGGAAAAGAAATCAGAATATTTTGAGCAATATAGCTTTTAAAATTACAGTACTTCTGGCATCTCCTCTTATATACCATGCAAAGTAGCGATTGGCAAACTTTTTCTTAACGAGCCAGATGGTAAATACTATGGGGGCCAGATGGTCTCTGTTGTAACTTCTTAACTCTGCCTTTGTATGATGAAAGGAGCCAAAGACAGTACATACATAAGTGTGGCAGTGTTCCAATCAAACTTTATTAATAAAAGCAGGCGCATGGGCCACTGTTTGCTGGCCACGAACATAAAACGCCTATGAACCTTTACGCAGCCTGTTTCCTCTGCCTGGGACACTAACCCCAGCCTCCCACCCCTCATCTGACTACCGCCTATGTATCCTTCAGCCCCCAGCTTGGATAAGACCTCTGCCAGGAAGCAGAACTCGTTCTTTCCCCAGCGGGGCTGGGTGTCCTCGCCATGTACAACTCTGGCGATCTGCAGTTTCCCATCACAGCACTGAGAAGGGGGATTTGAGAGTTACCAACACAACGGAGGAATCTCAAACTATTAAGAATAGAAAAAATATCCTAACAATAAAAATTTTAACAATAAAAAGTAGGGAGACACAAGCAGTGAACTGTCTCATATGTTCAGGGAACAGGGAAGCAGCAGAAACAAAGGAAAGCAGCAGAAAGAAACTAAAATCGCAGCAGGCCCTGGGTAGTACAGTGACAGAAGACAAAAAAGAGTGACTCAAGGAGATTATAGTGGTTTGCATGAGGGCCGTGGGGTCAAGACTGAAGCGTGGTCAGGAACGCCTTCTTTCATCTGGGTCTCTGCCTGTCACCTGAGCTATCTAATACTGTTCCAGGACAACAATATCTTAATTATGCTCATATTTCATCATCTACTAGGACAGGGACCCCCCCCTTATTGGTGCTCTTTTCAAAAAGGCCATTCTCATTTATTCCTCAGGATGAACTTTTGAGTTAATTCATTCAAGATTCAAAAATTAAATTTATACATCTGGGGACAGTTAATAGTATGTTTCTATTTAAGGGCAGCATTTTCCTTTTACACAGTCCTTAATAGATTTTTTCATAAATATTTTTATTGTAATATAAAATAAAATTATTGATTTTTGTCTATGTATCTTGAATCTGGACACCTTACTGAATTTTTGAGAATAGGGGGTGGATCTCACTCTTCTATGTATTCGGGACCAGTGCCTATCATTTAGGTACCGTATTTGCCAGCGTATAAGACGATTTTTTGGCCCTGAAAAATATGCCTCCAAGTGGGGGGTCGTCTTATACGCCGAGTCGTCTTATACGCCGGCAAATACGGTACTCTCTAAATGTTTCCTGAGTAACTCTTTGGCCTCTTAGAGTATTTCTACCCTGTGCACTCAAGTATTCCCAGTAGCTTTAACCCTTGAGTGAACAGATCTCCACTGATCACTTACATATCAGCTACTGCAACAGTTGCCGGGACTACAACACAACAGACAGACTCAGTGGCTGCCCTCTTGGAGCTGATGGTGGTGTCAATCACTGCTCCACATCTTAATTTTAAGAGGTATTATTATAGCTCTTTGTACCCTCCCTGTCCTTGGCACAAATGCCTATAGGCATCAATGTATGCCTAGTGAAATCTTGCTATGTTTACTACTAAAGATCATTTTTAAAATAAAAAAGTTTATAATAAAAAGTATCTGTTTTATTTCTTGAATAAAGAGTTAAACAATTATAATAAAACTTCAATTGATAAAAAAGGTGGCTAACAGGTCAATAATGAAAGAACAGAATTCTTTCCATCCCTTACCTTTTGGTGCCTCTGGAACGCCAATGGGGCAAATGATTTTTCTGATACAATATTCAGAGCGAATGCCGTAAGGACCAACATCTCGCCTCTTAATGATTTCTGTTGTTGTGATTTCAGTTTCAGATGTTTCTATGGGGATTTAATTCACAAAGTATTAATAACCACCTGAAAATTCAGAGAATAAAAAGGTATGATATCTGCTGCTTTAAAAAGGAGACACACGGTCCGGCCGAGTGGCACGATGGTTAAGAACTGGCTTGGGACGCCAGAGGGCCCCGGTTCGGATCCCACATATGAGGGTCAGTGACATTGCCCTCCACAGCTAAGATGCTGAACAACAGCTCAACCTGGAGCTGGGCTGCCGTGAGTCGCCGGCGACGGCGTAGGCTGCAGCCCCTGTGGCAGTGGGTTGCCATGGGCTACGGTATGTGGCCAGCAGCCGCAGTGAGCGGCTGTCCAGAAGCCGGTGACTGATGTGCCTCACCCAGGAAGAGCGCAATGATGGTGCCAACTTGGGCCAGTGAAGCAACGTCCTCTACAACTAGACTGAAGAACAAAAAACGACAGCAACTTGTCTGTTCCCCTTCCCCCAATTCCCCAGCACTGTTCCCATCCCCCCCAATTCCCCAATAAAAATCTTAAAAAAAAAAGAGACACACATGGAATAAACTTTTGGAAACATTTGATTAGTTAATGACCCCAGGATCACTGTTGAAATACAATAAAAATACTGAGTTTCTTCCTCACTCAAAACTTCTAAACTGAGCAAATGCTATTTGGGGGAAACTTAGTTGCTGGTGGCAAAACTCAGCCAAAATAATAAAACCCTAGGACAGAAGTAGTAAGCATAGCATTCCAGATGTCCCAGTTTAAAGGACTTTTACTCTACAATAATAAACATCTTTTAAAAATTCAGACTGGTGGTCCGGCCGAGTGGCTCAGTTGGTTAAGAGCTCAAGCTCTGAGCAACAGGGTCGCCAGTTCAATTCCCACATGGGCCAGTGAGCTGTGCCCAAACTGAGCTGCTGTTGAGCTGGTGAGAGCATGTGCTCTTAACAACAAGGTTGCCGGTTTGACTCCCACATGGTATGGTGGGCTACACCCACCCGCAACTAAGATTGAACACAGCATCTTGAGCTGAGTGGCGTGAGCTGCTGATAGGCGGCCGGATGGTGACTGGACTTGGGAGCTGAGCTAGCTGCGCCCTCCACAACTAAGATTGAAGGACAACAACTTGGCTGTTCCCCTTCCCCAATTCCCCAACAAAATCTTCAAAATAAATAAATAAATAAATAAATAATTCATACTGGTTCCCAAGTAAGTGCCTCACCTTGTAATTAGAAGCCCCGTACCCTGCCCCCATATGCTTCCAAACGTTAACAAAGCTTATTTTTAAAACAAAAGCACTGCATTTTAATAAATAACCGATATGCTTAAAATTAAGCAAACTGTCAAGTGATTTTTCTCTGTAAACTGAAACTAGAAAACAAAAACTCTTACCTGTCCGTGTCGTCCCGCCTCCTGGAGGAGCCTTGGCTGCCATGTCATCCCATCTCAGACTTGCCCACAATAACCGCAACATAAGGCTCACTCCAGCTAAGGACTTCACGGTCTGCAGTCTATACCTGAAAGAAACGTCCAAGAAAAACCCCGTATGTGTATAATACGGTTTTGTAAGCACTTCAGCTATTATATGTCCCTTAATAAGAGAATTATTTGTTCCTAGGCATACCATGTATCTAACAACTGCAAAAGGGGCTGTAGCCACTTCAAGTGCCATATAAATTTGCACAATAGCAGGTTTCATTGAAAGATAGATATGGCAAAATTTATGAAGATTTTATAAATTTAGCCTAATTCCAAAATAATGCTAGAAAAATTATGAAGGAGAGCAAATATACTGAAATAAAGGTGTTACAAATGTGATAAGAATTTTGAAGGATTAAAGTCTTAACTGATTTTTGCTAAAACAAACTGGAAATGTTTTTATTTTCTCTAAAAGCAAAACAAAAAATGACCTTGGAAATCCATTAAGACCTTTCCAAATGGACAGAAAATTTTGTATCCAAATAGTGGTTCTGCAAAGCATGAACTAGATGACGACTACTGCTAATATTAATAACACTTTAACAACATTAGTGTAATTTTGGAATCTTACAATACAGTGAATAAAAAAGGACAATACTGTATTAGTTACTAATCAGGAGACAAAGGAATTCTGTGTTTTCTAAACATTGTGTGCAAAGTTACTGAACATTTTAGATATTTTCTTTAAAATAATATTAAAAACACTTTCCAAAACAAAAGTATTTTGGAAACACTTTACAACTGCAATGAATATCATGTTCTAAAATGGAATTAACCATAAAACATTTTAAAGCAGCCCTGGGCTATCAATTCCCTATTAGTGATCTTTGTGTAATTACTTTGTTGACATTTCCACATACTTAAATGAATGCAGTGGTTGACTGCAGTGTAGAGAAAAACCTATAAAACTTAAAGAATTTCCTCCTTTAACACAGGTAGAGGGTAAATCTCAGATAATTTGTATTTCGAAGGCAATGCTTGCTATTCTTAATGTTAAATTGGAAAAATGAACAATGTGAGCAAGGGAAAGCTCTAGCCAAAAAGTTGTTGCCACTTCTTAACTTCCCATCTCCCATGTGATGCTATGATTTTCTTCGTTGTGCTACCTGCCACCTGTGAACCCTGTGACATGCACAGAATAATTTTTAAACTAGAGGGCAAATATTAACTAGTGCAGGGATGTCCTGGGAAGGGGAAAATGTGTGTCACTTTCAGATCACATCCTATAGAAATACCTAGGGAGCTCTGGACTCAGGAGAGAAAGCAAATAAATATTTACTTTGAAAGAGAAATTTTTCCTCATGGTCTTTCTTCTTCCTCCAATCAGTCACTACAAACAACAACTTTAAAGCATCTCTATTTTACAATGGAAACACCAGCTAGGGAACATACCTCCTGTGCTATCAGCCTGTTCACTCATTTACTCATTCAAAAAATATCGGAGTGCCTCCTATGTGTTAGACTCAGTGAAAGAAGCTAGGGACACAGAAATGAATCATAATCTGTTCTTGCGTCCTCAGGAGCTCTAACAGAAGACAGCATAAGGGAGGGGCATCCGATGTGGCTTAGGGCTGGGGTTCAGGGCTTGGCTCTTGACTCTCAAACGACAAGAATGTGGGGGTGGCTGACTGGAGGCAAGGGGCACACATATGCTTAGGAGGTGAGTGTACAAGAGCACACACCCAGTGTGCTATGGCTGGAGGGAAGGGGTGCAGCAAGAGATGAAGCTGACACGAGAGAGGAAGGCAGAGCCAGCAAGGGCTGCACACCCAATGGACGGATTAAGGAGCCTTCAAGACAATCTATATTAAGGACTCTGAAATTTATCCAGTACTGGCTGGGTTGTAACGGGAAGTACTTCTCACACATGTGGTGTACAGGTAGGTGACAAACGCTTTCCCCCTCTCAGCCCTACAGTAATTAACAAGTCCCCTTTAAATGCTTACTCAGCTCAGTCAGAATATTCACAGGATAGATCTGTGTTTTAGGAGGATCCATCCAGCAGCACTGTGGAGACAACTACTGGTCAAAGGGATAATGAAACACGGAATCAGGGCCTAAGGAAAAGGGACTAAGGGAATGGACAGTGTGGAGGGAACGGGGAGCCCTGTGAGTTGATGAGGCAAGTTGCACTTATTCAATACTGCTCAGCCTTAACATTAAATTCATAAAGACTGAACATGCACCTTTCGCATTCTTAGCTCCTGCTCTAAGCATCAGACATATTTTATTCAAGTGTGAGTATAAAAATGCATTTCACATGTGTGTTCTTATAGCTATACGTTTACAAAAAATTGCATTCTAAAGTCAGGAATAATTTACACATTTACTCATGCCTCCGTTAGACAGAAGGGATTATATATAATATTTCTCTCAACTTCAGCAATTTAAGACGTTAGCATATATTTGAAGGCAATTATCTGTTTAAATGTACAGGAAGGTAATTCCTTCCATTACAAAATGAGAAATTAACTAAACAGATACAAATTGTGCCCACAGTGCATATTAAAACACAGCAATACAGGGCTCTAGAAACCCAGCAGGGCGGGTAAGGGCCTGGGGCAACACTTGATGGGTCTGAACTGGTTCAGAGGAAATGCTTCCCAGTTGAGCCTACCTTCCATTTCGTAATAGAAAGGAGCAGAAAGGCCGCCCTTCGCAACTGCCAGGTCATTCTAATGAAAGTATCTGTACATAGTAACTTTTCCAGTGGGAAAGAAGTTACCTGCAGGACAGTCAAGGATACACTTTGGGACCGCTCTCAATGAAGAAAGCAGAAAAGTGCAGAGTAATCCTACAAATCCATGAACTGTAATGAAGAGTTCCTTGATTCCCTGCAGGATTCTGCAAATCCTTCATTGCAGGCCCTGCAGAGAAATTGGACTTTTCAGCTGTCTCTATTGAATGTGTAATGGAGTGATGATATTTCAATTCAAATCAAAAGATGAGTTATAAAAACTTGGTCAAACCAACCATGACTGGTCATTAAGTTAATTAATTCCTTTACAGAGAGTACTCATTTACACTTTTTTTTTTTTTGGTTTTTTTATAATACTAGCTGACTGTAATAAAAAGGAAACAAAAAAGTATGATTTTAACTTACAGAAACTGGGACCATATTAAAGAAAGACACACAGAAATGAAGCCTAAAGTGAAATGCAGTCTGCTCAGTAACTTGCTGAATTAATCATTTCAGAATTCTAGCAAACTATGGCTAAAACTGAGATCGCTTCTGATTTCTGAGCATGTCCCATAGAATTCTTTACGTTTTCAATGTTTATGTTCCATCCTTTTCCACTGTAAGAGTGAAAAGGTAAAAAAGACAAGGACATGAAAAAGGATAAAGCAAGGAGAAATATGTGAAATGTGATACAGCAGATGAAGCACTCATTGGGATTTAGGGAAACTGGACACTATTTCTCACCTTGTCCCTCTGTGGCCAGTCTATAAAAGATAAGAAAATAAGATCCTTTCCCAATATAAAACCATATGATCTTACAACCCCCAACACTACATACTTATGACTCATCCCCAAAGCTTAATGCCCAGGAAATTTTAAATTAAGATTATTTCTGAGTTTTAAAACAATCCCTAAGGAATCTCAGACACTATCTTTACTCACATAAATAACAGAGAACTCCAAAACAAATGTTTATCATGCAAATGAACTACATTAGGAAGATTTCTACATTATGATGAAACTTATGTGATTTACAGGCAAGTTTCCCATGTCTTATGTTTTTTATGAATTACCTAATAGAAACAAGATAGATTCTCAATCCACGACTGGGAATTCGTGTATGCGAGGGCGGGGAGGGGGCGTCTTAAGTTATACACTAATTTTTGACCGCCCGGGTGGTCAGTGCCCCTAACTCCCGCATTGTTCAAGGGCCAATTGTACAAGCATTCCAGAAAATTGATGATTATCTGATTCTGTGATTATCTCATTCCCAGATCAAACACATGGCAATAACTTGGAAAGTCGGACCACAAAAACAACTGTTTGACATGTTTCTTTTTGTCTTGTGAAAAGTAAAATTGAATTTCATTTTAAAAGATTCCCTTATGTTTTCAGTTTTCAAACATTTTTCCCTAAGTAAACTTTAGTATCTACCAGTTGGCCGAGTTCAAAACTCTCTGTATCTTATTTCCATTACTAACATTGCCCATTAAGTATATGCTTCCCTGACTTCTCTCTATTACCTCATTTTTAAAAATGAAATATTCTTATTAGGTGATTCTTTTAAACTTTCTCCTTCCCCCAAATACATTTTAAAGTACATACCTCCAAGTGATACCAAAGGTTGGTCTAGGAGAAGGATATGGCCATATATCCAAGGCAGGTTTAGCATTGTAATTAAAATAAGGGACTTCTCGAATTCCTCCTTTTCTGGCCAATTTTTTTAAGTCATCATTAGGCAAAACAAATATGCTCTTCTTGCTGCTTTTGGTGACAAACTTTCTATAGGATGGTAGTGCTGTACCTGAACGGGTCTTCTTGGGTCTTGAAAATTTCATGAGTTTCACTTTGTCTCTTGTGGAATATTCTTTGCTCATGGTCATAGACGTTATCAGAGTGCCCCCTGCGGTGGTTAGTGAGTCTGTCACTGTGGTCGTGACCACAGTTTTGCTCTGCTCCTTCACAGAGATGATGTCCACACTGCTGTCTGCAGAGGGTGTGGAAAGCTTTGTTACCGTCGTCATGGTGGTTGTGACAGTGGATTTGGCACAATTCTCTGTGGAAGAGACCACAGTTTGCTTATCGCCTTTTGCTACTTTGATTACAGTTTTTGATTCGGTGGCCACTGTGGATGTCGTCGTGGTGACTTCTGTAATGACTGTTTTTCTTTTCGATTCTCCATTGACATTTTCATCTTTGTTGGTGGACAGACCGTTTTCATCAATAAAATCATTACTAAGGTTTGATTCCTCTCCGGAAGTAATGGGTGATGGAGTAACTTTCTTAACTTCCGAGGTTTCAATTTCCATATCTTCTACCTGATTCGTTGAACTGCTTTCTAGACAAGATGGTGGAAATGTGGTAGTTCGTGCACTCTCAGACTCTTTGGTTGATGGCAGGCTCTCTAGGCCATCTTGGCAGTCACCCTCAGCATCTGAAGATCTTGGTAAACATGATTTTGTTTCCAAGTTGTTTTTTTCATTAAAATCTTCCATGATGACATCACCATTCATGAATGGCTTTACAGCAGATTCTTTAACAGTCAAAGACTTAACATCATTTCCAGGAGTTATTTTACTGATATTATTAACCTTTGGTTCAACTTCAGCACTTACTACTTTACTCTCAGAAATTTCTTTTAAGCATTCACCTTTCAAATATACTTTAGGTTTATTATCTTTCCCATTTATTTGAAAGGTACTTGCTTTCTGTACTTTCTTTTCAGAGTCTCGATTTTCATTATTCTTTCTGTTGCTACTTTTTAGATTTATTTGATCAATACATTTATTAACTGGTCTCTCCTCTAATTTCTGTTCTTGACTTGGTTTTTTACCATTTGCTTCAGTTACCTTACCCTGCAGCCTGTCATCACAGTTTCCAGTGGACTTATCTGAAACAAACTCATGTTTCAATGTTTCCAAGCCTTCACGACCTTGTTCTTGGGTTATGAACTGCTCAGAAATACTGTCATTGCTATTCTGAACAATCATATCTTCTTCACTGCTGTCCTGAATGGACATAGTATCAGAACTATTTTCCAAAGTGCTATTATATTCAGAGTCACAGCCCAGTTTTCCTTCCAAGTTCATTGCTTTTGACAGAGATGGGATATCTCTATCATCAGTACTTTTTGATACTGATGGGAGTAAAGGGCTCTGGGAAGGAGAAACAATGGTGTCATTATCCTCCTGTATGAGTGGTTTTTCTTTATAGATCAAAGTACCAATTTCATCTGCACTGGCTAGCTTAGAGTCTTCGATGAGAAAATCACTTCCTTTTCTTTTAATCTTACTGGGCTCCTGTCCTTTACTGGTAGGTTCAGAGAAACTCTCATCTATGTCATTTCCAACAGAATTTTGTTTCTGACAGTTTGTCTCTGGGCTCTGAATGGAGATGTCATCTAACATTTGATCTTTTGGATAAAGTTTACTTGCTGTATGACCAGGATCATTGATTCCCAGAATTGAGGAATCACTTTGTGAACATCCTCGAATAAAGTCTTCAGATTTTTCGTTACTTGTGTTAGGGCTTTGTTCTTGTCTAAGCAAGTCACTTTGACACCCTTCTTTTGTTTTCGTTATTATTGGTGACTCTGACAGGCTTTTCAAAGAGCTTGTAGAGGTCTTTCCTGTACCCTTAATTCCACCCTCCAACTTCATTTTTTCGAGGCGCTGTTTTTCTTCCAACGTAAACTGTTTAATTCTCCTTTCAAGAAGTCCATCTAGTTTGGATGATTTAATTTTCTTTTTATAACTAGTCCTTAGATGAAAGCCCTCACTGACATTGACCACATCTACTTGAGAACTTTCCTGACAATTTATATGTGATTCTGTTTTCACATCATCATCTATTTCCATTGGTTCTTCCTTAAGGGATTTATCATTGTCAGAATCTAAGACTTCTTTTACATCTGTGAAACAAAGGCATTTATGTAAGTGAAATTTTTAGTCTGAAATGTGGAATTTATGACAATATTTTCATTTTAAAAACTACCAATTTTCACTTAAAAACTTAAATATAAATATCTATGTATTTCAAAGCTCTTGATATATGATTAAAAATAGGTCAACAAACTAAATGTTACAAAAAGTTAAAAAACCAATATATTACCAATATTTAAATATTCTTATTCTTAGTATCTAAAAATTATGGAATGCCACAATTAAAAATTAGTATGTGATAGCTATTGCATATGCCAGTACCTTCATGTAAAATTTTGTATAGAGTATTTTATAGTTATAAAATATCATAAGGCTCATGGCATTATCTAGCTTATCTAGCTTTTAAAAAACAACTTTTCACAAAACACAATATAAATTCCTCAAAATGTTGAACTCAGAGTTATCTCATGACCCAGCAATTTCACTCAGGTATTTAGCCAAGAAATGAAAACATATGTCCACACAAGAACTCATACACAAATGTTCATATCAACATTATTCATAATAGTCAGAAAGTAAAAACGACCCAAATGTCCATCAACTAATGAATGGATAAACAACATGTGGCATATCCATACAATTGAAAATTATTCAGAAATTTAAAAAAATGAAGGAATACTGATACATGCTATAACATGGGTGAACCCTGAAAATGTTCTGTTAAATGAAAGAAGCCAGTCACAAAGTGCCACATATTACATGATTCCATATATACGGAATGTCCAAAATAAGCAAATCCACAGACAGAAAGCAGATTGGTGGGCTGGAGGGGTAGGGGGGTATGGAAGAGTGGGGACTGCTAATGGGTATGAGTTTCTTTTTGGGGTGATGAAAATGTTCTAAAATTGACTGGTGATAGCTGAACAACACTGTGAGTATACTAAAAGTCACTGAATTGTATGCTTTAAATAGGTGAATTACATGGTGTAAGGATTATGTTTCAATAAAGCTGTTATCAAAAAGAGACAATGCAGTACCTTTCCTGCTGTGCGAACTAGGTCCAGTGCATTCTTATCACCCTCAGGCTGCCCTTCACACTTGACCCTCCTTACCTTGGTCCTTCTTCTCAGTAATCTTTGAAATATCCATTTCACTTTTGTCTGCTCCTTCTGCAGCATCTGAATCTTTTACCTCGCCTTTCTCAGAATCAGGCTCTGTTTTTATTTTTTTTGGACTTCTTCTTCTATCTGATTCATCCATATTCTCATCCATACTAGTTTTGGCTAAAAAGAACCAAGTATATAGTTAAGTACAGATATTTTGAATGTTAGCAATTTACTTTCATATATCTAGTTTGGTAGAAATTATCAAGTGTTTCCAGCAATGTATACTTCATTATATTTTACTAAGAAAAAAAAAAAAAGAAGTTGAAGATCCTATATGCTTTTTTAGATGCTCGGGTGACCTAAAGCATAATAAGAATGGCTGCACTTTAGAAGCCTTCACATCTGAGATTATTTCAACCTGTTCACTGACGCCAGAAAGTCTGCATCAATGGTTTCTATCATACATTGTGCTACAGAATCAAATTAGAATCAGATAAATGCTATGATCCCCTAACCCAAATCAAAATTACATATACAGGGCTGGCTGAGTGGCTCAGTTGGTTAAGAGCTCGCTCAGGAGTGTGAGCTCTGAGCAACAGCGTTGCCGGTTCAATTCCCGAGCTGAGCCGCCAACAGGTGGCAGGATGGCTCAGCTAAAAAAAAAAAAAATTACTATACAAACTTTTGTAATCAATTTCAATAGATTCTCAGAGATAGCCTTGACGTTTATCCATGGACTCCAGGTGAAGAATACTTAAGTCTATATCACAGAATAAACTACTCAAGAGAAATAACCAAATGCAATGTGTGGATTTATATGGACCCGGTTTACTACTAAGAGTAAAAAGACATCTCTGAGACAAATGCAGCAATTGGAATATGAACTGAGAATTAGGTGGTTAATATGTTAACTATTGTTAATTGGCTGAGTGTGATAATGGCATGATGGCTAGGAAAAAATGCTCATTTTGGTTAGAGATACATACTGAACTACTTTTGGTTCAGGGACGGGGATTTGTTTTAAATGCAGGAATAAAACCTGCAGGAAAAAAGTGGGCAGTGACAACTGAAAGAGAGTGATAGAATTTGATAACTGTTGAAGTTGAACATAGGAGTTCATTATTCTATTCTCTTTTACTTTTGTGTCTTATAATTTCAAATTTTCCATAAGAAAAAAACAAACCCACAAAACATACCCACTGTCTGGGTAAATATTCTTGGGCCTTAAAGGCATTTCTAACTTATTTTCTTCTTCACTTGAACTCAACCATCTCAAGGCCTTGACAGGATGTAAGTATTTTTCATTTAAATAAATGGCTCCTTCCAGAAAGGTTTGGATGCAGGGAAGGAAAAGAATGCAAAAAACACACTCAGTACCTGTCAAGACAGCAGGATACTGGTGAAAGAAGAAAAGCATCATACAGAAGTGTGACGGGATGTGTCTGGACCTCACAGGTAACAATACGATAAAAACACTACACTGGTCTTTTCCTTATTCAATGCTTCTTTAGTTACTGCAGAACAACTGTGAGCTATCTTTTCAATGGTTTCCGGTTGCTCAAAAAGAGCTTTATATGACAATCGTAGTCTCATCTATAAACTGTAAGATTCCTGATATTTCAAATAGACAACTATAAAATGTTTGGGGCTTTCCCCCCCATTAAACGTCTTTATGACATAAAGAATATTACTATATATCTGTTATTGAAGCTTATGAATTAATGTACAAAACGAATGCACACAGTCTGAGTTAGAACAGAGGAACATTAGAGATAAGGGACACACAGTCAGCAGCCAAACCAGTTGACCATTCTGGTGTCTGGTGCTAAGTCCAGTGTTCCCTAAACTGCATTCCTCTGTTTGACAGCATATCTGTGCCTCTACCACATGATCAGATCAATAAGCCATTATTATAGGGGCCAACAGTTCTGAAATGATAAAGTGTATTTTATACTGATTTATATTAACAGTATAAAATATATTGTTGCCTTCACTGTAATTTCTACTGTGTAGTTAAACTAAGCTAACAATATGCATTGCTGCTTTTTTTCCCAGCCCCCACCTGGGAGGAAGGGCTTAAAAGATGCTAGGAGACCAACTTAGTACCTGACTGTTAAGGCTCAGAATTTGGACAACGGAGTCCTATGCTAAGCAAAGTGTATACAAAGTAAACTTGCAAAAGCCTAAATAGTTTACATATTGACAAAGTGTATTTTATTACACAGGTCAGACACAATGAAACAAAAGCTCTCTATAGTTCTTAGTGCTACATGGGTAACTGGAGTAACAAAATGGTGACAAAACATTTTAACAATCTTTTGGAATTTATTATAGTGGTCATTTAGCTTGAATATAATCAGACAATAATATAATTGAATATTTGGTAAATAGATATTTTTAATGAGCATCTGCTATGTGCAAGACACTAAATTCCAGTAAGCCTCACAAAATACATTTTTTTCTGTTAAAACGTAATCCAACGATAATTTCCCCAAATTAACAATTTCAAAAATCTACCAGTCAGGCATCATTAGTACTATTCACAAGGAAGCCAAATCAGTTAGCTAGATATGTGCATAGTACCTATTTGGCACTTACAGCATAGGCTTTATAGGAAAAAAAGACACAACACTATATATTAGCAAATTATATTGCACACTGAACAGAACTGCTTTTGAAAATCACTTAGATAACAAAGGAGAGGCTGCATGGGAGAGTGCAAAAAAAGCAATAGAAGTTAGATTCCAGCCATATCACTCTCTATACGTATGAACTTCAGTATGTCACTTAACATTTTCATGAAACAATCTGCTCATGTAACATGAGTTTCAAAATACAAATTCTCTTACAAGGGCAGTTCACCTCTAGAGTTCTGTGATTCTAAAGACTAAAGTCATAAGCCAGAAGCATAAATCAAGTTAATACCTCATTTATGTGACAGTGTCATTATGGCAGCCTCTATCACTTCCTTTCTGGCTTTGTCATGTGCTACAGTGCTAGTTACCAGACATATGGTTCCTCAAGAAGTAGTATTGAATTTGAGATTTCAGAAAAACAATTAGGTAGTTGAGGACTTTGTTTTCTGTGTTTTTAAGCTGTATTCTATCACCTTTCTTGAACCAAAATCCTAGATGTCAAAATCCACTAGTAACGGTAATTTTTGTAGTTTATAATTACTATGTTAGTAATTTTACACATTCTCCTAAAAATTTCAGAAAAAGTTTTATCCAAAATATGGTCAATATACTATAAATCTATAAGAAATAATACAAATCAGAAACAATTACACAGGAAAAATAATTTCAATTACTTACTTCCTTCTAACGAGTTTCTGTAATTCACATTAGTATTGCCTGGCAATTTAGGAACAAACCTATAAACATGAGTTTTACTAATCCAGCTCCAACCACCATATCCTGTTACTCTGTATTCCTCTCCTTTTTGTTTCCAAACCTGATGTAAATAAAAACATTCTGGTTAAACAAGAATGAGAATGTTTATAAAGCACATGAGGTTTTATAAGCTTTTACCAGATGAAATCAACAGGCAAGCATATTAATTAAATTTACCAATTTTATTTTCACTGGGATCAAAGATTTATGAAAAAACTTAATATTCCTTTGATATTAAAAATGTAACACCATTTCATAGTTTTATAACAATTTTAACAAACTGGTCTAATAACAAATCTATATTCTAAGATAAACAAAACACATGCTTATAAAACTGCCAAAAAATTTACTTCATTCCAACTACATTAAAAGATTGTGTCGAAAGTAAAATAAATCATTAAGTATTCAAAGTTGAAGAATAAAAGTCTCAGAAATGGCTAACCCTATTTTAAAAGATTATAATAAAAATTACCTGATGTTTAACTGGAAATGTATATTTTACCCACGTAGCTTGTTGCATCGTTTCTTCCTCTTCTTGTTTCTTCTCTTTTTTTTTTACTTTCTCTTTTTCTTCTCTTTCAATTGATGTCATCCTGTGTAACCTAAGAATAAAAGAATAGAAAGACAGAAGTACTGAAAATTATGAAGACAAAAACAATAAATGGTTAGCTATAATCCCCACCCAAATAATCCCAACTCAGAAAAATAAGTAAATGTACAATTCTATAATAAGAAAAATCAAACAGTACTATAAGGCAAAACAAAACATGCTATGCTTCCCATATGCCTCTCCATAAGAAATATGCTTACTCACTTATGACTTATTCCTAAATATTTCATGTATACACCAACATTATATTTACAAAAAAGGGATATTTATTCTATATCATATATCATATCATATCACAAACACAACCACCAAGTATTTTAATCAATGAATAATTGCACTAAAAGATCTCGCCATACCAGAAAATACAGAGCTTTTAAAGAATTAAATTACAGGGCCAGCCGAGTGGCGTGTTGGTTAAGAGCTGGCTTGGGATGCCAGCTCTGAGCAGCAGGGCCCTGGTTTGGATCCCACATGAGGGCCAGTGACGCTGCACCCTCTACAGCTAAGATGGTGAACAACAGCTCAACCTGGAGCTGGGCTGCTGTGAGTCACTGGCGACAGCGTAGGCTGCCATGGGCTACCGTGAGCAGCCAGCAGCCAGCGTGAGCGGCCGGCAGCCAGCATGAGCGGCTGTCCAAAGGCCAGCAACCAATCTGCCTCACCCGGGAAGAGCGCAATGATAATACCAACTTGGGCCAGTGAAATGACGTCTTCCACAACTAGACTGAAGAACAAAAGGATGGCAACTTGTCTGTTCCCCTTCCCCGATTCCCCAATGCTGTTCCCACCCCCAAATCCCCAATAAAATCTTAAAAAAAAAAAAAGAATTAAATTATATACCACTGCATGGACATACTATAGTTTATTAAACCAGTTCCCTATTAAAGGGAATACTTTATTTCCTTTACCCCAAATAAGACCTACACATCCAAAAACTTTTATTTTATCAACCAATATTTCTGATTCTTTCTATGTAGCTCTGGGGATTTTAAAGCCTTCACAGAGTATGCTAACATAGAATTCAGGCTTCCAACATCCACAGAGAACAGGGCCCACATGTCTCCTGCTTTTGGGTGAGGGGAAGGACTACGAAGGATGGGCCACACTGATCAGGCACCAATCATTAGTCACAGGATGCAAGCCACATTCTTTTTTCTGACAGGAAAACCGGTATCACTGCACCCAGCAGTAAGGGGATGGGCGGGCCTACGGTTAGGCTCTATATTGAGGTGTAGATGGTCGTGAATGGGCCCATTCCCCATAAACAGGGACATGAACCAAAACTTACAGAGAGAGAGGAGCACCTGGTTCTAAGAGCTCTAATGGTACAAGAATTGTTTTTTCTCACACTCTACCTAGTTGTAGACAATTTTGCATGCACAGCTATGTGGAAGGAATAGAGACCATTTGTCAAGTTGGGGGACAGGGAAGTGCTAATAAGCAGTGGGAGAGGATTTAATTCTTTTCATCTCTATCCCTCCACCAAAACTCCCTATCTCCACTTCCAAGCAAGCTTTGTGTCCCTGGGACTATAGGGCCCTAGAATCTAGCCTCCTGCAGGCTGTAAGAACTTATGCTTATTAACTGCACACAATGAGTATAGCAAACGTCCTTCCTTCTCTCACAATTGATGGGAAGAGAAGGGAGTGGGTTCTCAGTGGAAAGTAAGTCACTGGTTCAAATACCGTCGAATGCCACCACCCTTGGAACCAGCAAGTGGGGTAAGCTCTGCAGGCACAGCATGGCGATCACATGACAGCCTCAGCCCACCAGAGTAAGGAGCGACTTAGCCAGCACCAAGGAGCATCTCTCAGCAGTTTCCGTGGGCTCAGCTTTAAACATCTCTGAAAGGGCAGGTCCAGCACAGCAGCTGATCCCCAGGAATGGAGCACTGTGTGGGGAGGATACCAGTGCTGTGACCCTCTGGAAGCTCCTGGCTGGGCTGGGCTGGGCTGGACACTCAGCTTGTGTGCTACTGGTGTTAACATGGGAAACAGGTCCGTTTTCATCACCAAAGGCTTCACTTTGCTGGGGGTACTGGGCCAGTGAGGTGATATTAGTTAACTCAGGGTACATTCTACTGTCATTGTCACTAAAACAATCCTTATGGGAAAAGGCAGCAACAAAGCTCCGAGGAAGTTCACGTCCACCTGGCTGGGCGGAAAGCCTGGCCACTGCTACCAGCCTGGAGGCGCTGGAAAGGAAGGCAGCCCCATCAGGCTGTACTGCGCAGCCTCCAGGTGCTGCTCCATACTGGTGGGCAAACAGGGTGGCAGGTGTGCTTCCGCACCTGCAGGTTCCACTGAGAGCCGGACCAGCAATATGGACTGAACTTCAACTTGACTCTTGATCTCCAGGTGTGCCCAGGGTTTTGTTGCGTTTATTTGCTACTACAAACAAAGCTACAATAAGCAATGTTTTGTGTCTTTCTTGTTGAGCTAGGGAGTGTCCCCCTATGTTCCCCAGTGCTGGGATGACTAAGTCCAAAGGTCCTTACACTTAAAATGCTGACAGTGCCAAATTGTATACTTTACACTGCCATCAATTATAAAGCCACCCTGCTTTCTCACACCTTCACACAAGTTAGTACCAAATTTCTCAATTATCAGTCCAATTGAGAGATAAGAAATAGTATCCCATTGGTTTTTTTGTTTGTTTGTTTTTTTAGCTGAGCCATCCTGCCACCTGTTGGCAGCTCAGCTCAGGCCGGGACTCGAACCGCTGTTGCTCAGAGCTCAAACTCTTGAGCGAGCTCTTAACCAACTGAACCACTCGGCCAGCCCAGTATCCCATTGTTTTGATTTACATTACTTGAATTATGAGAGATCTAAACTTTAAAAAAAAAATTTTTTTTTTAAGTCTACTGGCCATTCGTATTTATTTTTCTGCAAAATGCCTATTCAAATCCTTTGTCTTGTCTGTACTGGACTATTAGTCCTTTTCATTTATTAAAGGTCTTTGTCAACTGAGGAAATCTTCCATTTGTGGTGCAAATATTTTTCCTGTTTGTCATCTGTCTTTTGAGTTTGATAATATTATTATTTTTCCACTCAGAATTTTAAATACATATATCCACTTTTTCCTCTCTGGCATCTGGGTTTTGTATCTGTTTAAAAAGAAAGTATTACAACAAAAACACAAATTAATCCATGGTTTCTTATTGAAGTTTTGTTGTTACTGTTTTTAAGAGTATTTTTTTAATCTTCCTTAATCTGAATGTTTTTGCTGAGGCAGGGATCGAGGTAACATTTTCCCCAGACATGCCCTCTCTCCTCTGATATGCAATACTCTAGCTAGATTCCCACATGTTTAGGTCTATTTCTGGATTATCTGTTCGAGTCCACTGCTCTACTCCTTTTGCTGTAAAAATTATTTTGATTATTGTAGTTTTAAAATATGTTCTAGTATCGCTTCCCCTTTCTGTAATACCTACTTCCCTTTCTTGTACATGAATTTTTCTAAATGAAATATTAGTATCATGTTGGTCAAGCCTCTCTGTATCCAAGGAGGAAAAACCCTATTTACAATGCCAATAAATAAATATTAATTTTAATACAATAGATTATACATATCTGAGCATACATCTTTTCCTTTACTCAAAGTACCTTTTTATATCTTTAGCAAAATTTTAATGATTCCTTTATATGATTCTGACTATTTCTTGTTAAACTTATTCCTGGTTGTTTGAAGTTTTTTGTTGTTTTGGGGATCTTTCCTATCATGATTTTTAAAAATATGTAGAGTGTAACCAGGTTAAGAAATTAAACTTTATCAATAACCGGTGCATTGGAAGCTGGTGTGTCCCAACACCAGGTAATCATTATCCTGACTTTTGTGTTATCATTCTCTTGCTTTTCTTTATGTGGATGTATACCAAACAGTATAAAGTGTGGCTTTTGAAAACTCAGTAGCAAGAATGAAACTAACTGCATGAGCAGAAGAGCAATATTGTCACTATTAAAAGAAGGTTCCCAGGAAAAAAATAAATGTCTCTAGGTCACAGTTTACAAGAGCCTCTTCTGGTGAAATCCACGGGTGAGGTCACGAGCGAGGCCTGCAAGACGTGGGCTCACCACACCACGGGAGCCTGGCAGGACGTATGTAAGCTGGCACACTGCAGAGACAGATCTGAAAGGGGCTGTTCTAGAATTTCTGCCTCTGCACCTTTTGAGGATTCTCTGATGTAACCTGTGACAAGTCTCAGTTCTCCCCACTGAGGGGATTCGGCCTCTTGGGTGGGTTACCTACCAGCTGTCCACCTGCAGCATTGCGTCCATAGCTTTACTGGAGCCAAATTCTCTGTTGCTCCCCTTGTCCCTGTGGGTTTATGCTTTAAAAACCTCGCTTTGCCACAGTTTTGGTGGAGTTTAGCAGGGAACAAGGTTAAATGTGTTTATTCAATTTGTTATTTTAATTCAGACCTCCAATTGTATTTTCTCATGGTTACTGTTTGCATACATAAAACCTATTGTTCAGTATGGCAGCTACTTTATTTAATTTTCATATGGTTTCTGATAGTTTTTCAGTCAATTTTCTAAGTGTATAATTAAATCAACTGCATATAATTGTGCCTATATCTGCCTGTTTTAGTTCTCTTGACAAACTAAATTGGCTAACACTTTATTTATTTATTTATTTTTAAGATTCTTATTGGGGAATTGGGGGATGGGAACAGCACTGGGGAATTGGGAGAAGGGGAACAGACAAGTTGCTGCTCTTTTGTTCTTCAGTCTAGTTGTGGAGGACGTTGCTTCACTGGCCCAAGTTGGCACCATCATTGCGCTCTTCCCGGG